CAGCTCGGTGAATCTAAAGAGGAAGTGACTGTGGACCTGCTTCCTGCTCCTCTCTGAGGAGTCAGACCAGTCGCCCCCTGCTGGACATCAGAGAGCGTGCAGCTTTAAGAAACTGTGTGTAATGATTCATCTTCTCTTCTGTAGAGACAGAACTAATAAAGACTAGCTACACATTTATGTTAGTGAGGTGTGAAACTGACTCCAGCTATCGGTTTTATTTTGGAAGGAAAACATTCCCCGACTGGCTGTTGTGCTTCGGTCCAAATGAACTTGGGGTCTTCCAGCGAGGGCTTAGAAACAGCCGGGTCGAGACGAGCGAGCCTGGGCTCATCAAACTCTGCCCATTAGTCAAATCTGAGCTGATTACATGTAGTTAGCCGAGGTCGGCTGAGTCACGGCGGCATAATTAAAGACAAACACTGTGAGGGTCACATGTTCCAAGAGCCAGATGGCAGGGCGAGCCAGCCTTAATGGCAGGATTTACTGAGTCCATCCTGCAGGTTTCTGTGGATTTACACCCAAAATCTGACACAGTGGGGTGGCAGGGCGCCGACAGACACGCAGCGGGTCAGTGGTTCATGGGAAATCCAGAGTCTCGCAGGAGAAAACCCTGACAGACCACATCAGTGTGAAAGTGTGAATTCAGTTCGGATGATTTTAACACAGAGCTAACCCAAGTCCTGAGGAGTCAGCTGAAGAGTAAGAACAAGATGCGGGCTACGCCCTGCCCTGATCAGGTACCCTGCTGGGATAATAATTTGGCCAAAGGGAGATAGAAGCCACTGACATCAAGACCAGGAAGCTCCTGACCATGCATGGAGGGTTTCACCCCAAGTCCAGCACCCTGAGACTGTACGCGAAGCAGAAGGAGGCCGGGGACTGGTGAGTGTCAGCACCACAGTCCAGGATGAGACAACGAGCATCCACGAGTACATCAGGAAGATGGCCCCAACTTACTCATTGACAGCTGCTGTCACAGAGAAACTTGCAAATCTGACCTTCGAGAGGTCGAGCAGGATTCAGAGAGGAAGTCAGGAGTAACCGGCTCGAGCACCTGAGGCATCAATAACCATCCAGACCACAAAGCATCTACACAACGCTGTGATTGGTGAGGTGATGTATTCGTGTTATTTTAACGAGGCTTCGGTCTTACAGACGTCAGTGGAGACTGTCCACGCTCAGCAGGCAGGTGTGAGGGCCGGAGCGGGAGACTGCAGGCCCCAGGAACCTGAGGCAGGAGCTGCCATCAGCCTGGACCGCTGCTTCTGCACAGTGGGTGGAGGTGGAGGTGGTGCTTGCTCCAACAGCCTCCCTCTCATAGCCACACCAAACCACTAACAGCAGCAGGAAGGAACTGCTTCATTCTCCCTACTTCACCATTCGGAACACATGACGGCATGTTATGGAAACACGCTGAAGAGAGCTCCGCCTTTAACCTGAACAGGTATCGTTTTTGTCTCCAGCTGTTCTGATCCTGAGGTGGAAAAATGTTCGGACTCGCCGTCTGATTGTGACCAATGCTGGATCCCTGCAGCTCATCTCATTACCATAAATCTCCCCTCGTCTCTCCCGAGCCACTTCCTCCTCTCGCTGCTGTCTCCGCCCACGTTAACGACGTCAGGAGCCTCGGCGCAGCGGCCCAAACGTGCTGCCGTACAGTCACAGAGGGCCGCCCCAGCTGGCTCGGCTTTAATTGGCTCGGCTCAGGTGCCAACTGAGATCAGCTGTCGCTGCAACAACGGCCGCACCTGTTTACACGTCTGTCAGAGGGCGGCGGCGCCCGAGGCGTGACCCCCGACACACAAGGTCACATGTCCTCTGCTCGGAGGACACATTCACACTGCAAATGAAGTGTTCTTTATCCAACCAACAACCAGCTCCATCAACTACTCTGATTACTAACGAAATACTCTGATTACTGCTCCTGCTGCTCTCGGACCAGTAGTGAGCAGCTGTCAGCACCACAGGAAACGCTGTCAGCGAGAGTGAGCTTGGACTGAGGAAAACTAAAAAACTAAACTTCCTGATATTTTACCTGACGAGAGGACAAACACAACGTGGAAACTATTTTGCTCCCTGATGTTGTACATATTAGGAAAATGTGGCTCGGGCGTCTAATTCAGGTATTTAAACACGCTGAGTACCAAAAACATAACTGTGTGATGAGTTATCAGGATGAGCGCCGTGCTGTCTGCGGTTTCATGTTTGCGGACTCGTCACCAGCTGCTCCCTGCGCTCTGACGTTTTAACTGAAAACAAGAGAAATAGTTCAAATTCTGCAAAAAGCAGAACAGTTCTGCTCCCAAACAGGAAGTCCTGCACATGCACGTCCTGTGATGGCTCCAAAGGTGACTCGTACACCCCGAGCGTGTCAGGTTCGTCTCAATAACTTTACTTATAATGGAAGATAAACAGAAGGTGTGTTCAATTCCTGACACGATGTTTGCGTCAGATCCCAGACGCTCCTCTTGCTTTCTCCTCAAACCGAGTCCAGAACAAACTGCTGATCACATGACAGTCAATCAAACAACAGGTTTCTTTGTGTGAAGCTGTGGAAATAAAACTAATTAAACTGAGACGAAGTTTTGGTTCTGAACAAGTCTCTGGGTTTTTACTAGTTATGACATTCAGACCAGAGGTGCTAAATGTATGGCTCGGGGCCAGAGCGAGGCCACTAAAGCAGCTTTACTCACAGCAGGCATCAAAGGAGTTCTCCTTCATTCCTGGAACAGGAACACTGACAGCGAGTCAGTGATGTGCTCCATGACGAACAGTATGTGGGGAGGATGATCGTGCACTCTGCACAGGTAACACAGTCGGTTACTTTAAACAAGTTACTGCACAAACTTTTTACAGCAAAACATATCATCAGCATAAAGCTGTATTTTCAGTTACTGTAATTACTCTGTTCATATTTACAGTATTTGTAGCGTCTGTTCGTTTACACTGTTGCAGGATTACCACCGTTTATTCATTAGAACAATAATTTACATCAGACAGTAACACACTGAACTAAATAAATAAAACTATATGTTACAAAGTTCACAGAGTATAAGAAATAGCTCTATAATATCCAGACTACTGTCTCACGTGCTCAGTCATCCAGGTCAGGAAATCCCAGAAAGTTGATCCTGTTCATCTGGATGTTTTCAGTTTCATCATCATCAGGTGACTTCTTCAGTGTCAGCTGACTGCAGGTCCCCAACCTTGTAAACATCTGCACAATAACTGAAACCAGCACCACTGAATGAACTGTGAGCTCAGTTCTTTGATCATTAATATGCGAATTGTGGTGACCAACAGCAGCTAACATGTTGTTAATCTGAAACATTTTTCTGCATCTATTTTCAGTTTTTACTGTTTTTCTGTCAGATTTTCAGTCCCACCTTCTTCCAAACCTTTTTCTACAGGCTGCTCAGTATCAAAGTCATCCTGCAGCAGTTTTACTGCCCAGCTCTGTTTCCTGTCTTTGTGCTTTTAGACCAGGGGTGGGCAATCTCAGTCCACGAGGGGCGGTGTCCCTGCAGGTTTTAGATGTGTCCTCGAACCAACACAGCTGGTTTAAATGGCTAAATTAGCTCCTCAACATGTCCTGAAGTTCTCCAGAGGCCTGGTAAGGAACTAATCATGTGATTCAGGTGTGTTGACCCAAGGTGAGATTGCCCACCCCTGTTTCAGACACATAATTATGCATCTTCTGTATGTTGAGCACTCAGAGGTCTCTCTCTTTCTTTCCCTCACGTTTTGTCTGAACCACATAACTCCCCATTAAATTCTGAGCTGGTTGTTAAAGAGGCTGCGACTTCATCTGTGTCATCAGATTAGCCGAGTGATTTGTCCTCACAGAGGCTCACTGCCGTCATCATTACTGTGACTGGTGGAGGATCCTCAGCTGCTCACACGTTAACCAGCTGCCATCTAGTGTCACATCTGGGACAGTCACAGGATCGTATGATAACGACGATGCAGATCAGTGAGAGGAGGTGGGTGCAGGGACTATTACTGATAAAAAAGGATGAAGATGAAGCTGCCAGGCAGGAGGAGAAGAGCTCAGACGGAGGAGGATGCTGGGATAGGAGGAGATGGAGGCAGATGATCCGCTGTGCAGTGGAGCTATGAATGCAGCAGCTGAAAGAAGAAGCAGATTTACAGTAGGCGGCTGATCTGGCCTCTCCTTTCAGTGCCTGACAGTAACAGACTTTGACCTCCCCCCCGTGGCTCCAGTTGAATAAAAGCCATGACTGCTGGATGTTTGAGGGAAAATCTGCCTATATTACAATAGGAGGCTAAGACGGGCCTCCATGCTCGTCTGATCATGTGCTTGACAGTTGTTGCACCAACGTGGGCACGGCCTGTTGAACAAGAAGCCAGCAGGCATCATAGATTTCAACGACAGGCTGACTCGCTGACAGATCCGCGCCTGCTTGCCGCAGGCCGAACACACGGGGGAAGGTGTGTTTGCGGGGAGGAGGGTTCAAAGGTTATGCTGGAAGAAGCAGCACAGTGAATGGGAGACTGTCACGGCCCAGCGAACACTGACATGCCGACTGAGCTTATCCTGGCCTGCCGACGCTCATCTCAGGGTGCTAATAGATCCATCGCCAGTTCATGAAAGGCATGCGTCTGACAGCACGCCTATCAAATCCCGCAGATGTGTGTGCAGCAGTGAGCCACACTGCTCATAAATACGCTAACATGTAAGTCAGGTCAGACAAAGTCCCAAATTGGCCAGAGTCAGAGATACAGCTGACAGACAGGAGAGAGGGTTTCTGCATGAAATCAGCAGGAAACAGACACGTTCACACACAAAGTCCTTCTTATTAAACTCGAAACAGCTTTAAGAGCATTTAATCACTGGTGGTTTATACTGTGTCATATTTCTAGAGGGAAATATAAGCTAGGAAAGCCTTTGACTGCTAAAAAGAGGAACAAAAATACAACTCCCAGAAGGCTCTTCGCACAGCGCGTGCGCTGTTGTACCATAACGACGTGATGAGCGTTTTATGTTTTCAGTAGCAACCGTGAGTTAAACTGAACAAAGTCGTTGTAAAAGGTAAGAATGCGTCAGATGTTACCAGAAAAATGACCGGAAACAAGTCAGAAGTAAATATGGAGTCACGAGCGTTTGAGGCGACACGCAATCTGATAATTAGACGGTTCCGCTAGCTCGTTAGCTACTGCTGCTAATGCGGAAAAAAACACGATAGATTCAGAGCTTTTCAGTGAAATACATCCACGTACGCATAATATATATTTTAATTTATTTACCTGATATTAATATGGTGTGTCCCATTGGTCAAAGATAACGCTGCTTTGTTAAATCATCGCTCGGTACCAGACTACCTTTAAATTCTATACGTTTTAATGTTCACGGTCGAAAGTAGCGTTAAATGTGGCTTCGTAATTATCGTCGAAGACTCGGAAACATCGGAATTAGCCGGTTTTAAGTTCGGCATACATGTAACACACTAGGCTGTTTGAATTTGGTGCTTTTGAAATGGTGAACAGTCCGTTTAACACCGGCGCTATTAGAGGCGTCTTTAAAGTGAAGTGCTGCTGATTAAGTTTTCATTGTAAAGTATTTTTATTCATTGTGCCGATTGTGTTTTTAACCTCACTGAGAGATTATCTTCAGAGATGAATTATAAAAGGCGTAAGCTGTCTGTAACCGCCACCGACGGTTGAATCTTCTGTCCAGGCTGAAACATGTCAACCCTCCGGGATGAGACGGCAGCAGATGTGCCGGTCAAGGACGTCACGGTGGACCTCTCCAGACTCACACCGGCTCCACCAGGTGTGTCCACACTCATCAGGCTGTTTCAGAGTCCTCCACTACCAGCAGACAGTTGCATGACTAAAACGTTGAATTCTAACCTACATTTTAGGTTAAATCCAGTGCTCTGTTTTATGTGGTACAGTTTGTTCACCTGCTAATTTGTTGATTTCTGCTCACAGAGTCGTCGACCTATCAGCACGCCCGTGCGCGACTGGACATCTCGCGTGTGTCCCGGGAGGAGCTGGAGGACCGCTTCCTGCGGCTGCAGGAGGAGACGCTGCAGCTCAAACAGCACAGCCACAAACGGGATGATCTAATCAAGAAGTGAGGCTTCTCCCATATGCCCGGGGCGTTTTTATCACTGAACAAAAGCACGTCTTTAAAGAGAACACGTTTATTTCCTCAATAATATTTTTCCACACAAAAAGCTCCAGAATCCTTAATGTGTCTAACAATATACCATTTAATTTAACTGTCTCTCTGCAGACTGAGCACAAAGCTGAAGAGGCTGATGAACAACCGTGACCGCATGGAGCAGCTGCAGCAGGGACAGCCCCATCCTCCAGGGTCCGAGACGTGGAGATGGAGGAGATGATGGAGGAGCTCCACGAGAAGGTCCGGCCCTGCAGGCCGAAAACGAAGGGCTGAAACAGCGCTCCTGGTGGCAAAGCATCACTCATCAATCGTCAGAGCCAGAGGCCGACGCCGTACGACCGCATCCAGCCGCGAGTCAACACGGGGTTGAAGAAGTTCAGAGACGACATGTCGTCTCCGTCTTTAATACGACCTAAAAGTGAGTTCTGCGGCGTCTCCAGAGCTTCTCTGCCATCACGCTCCACGAACTGCGTGTTTTCTTTCTCTCTGTTTAACTTTTTACCATCTTCCCTCTGTGAATTCATCTCCTGCAGGTACGAGGAGTTTGGAGGGAGGAGGACGACCTCCGACTGGCCTGCTGCCTCGCTATGGGCACAGTCTGCTGGAGGAGGCCAGATCAGAGATCCGCAACCTGTGAGTAGGAATAGGAATCAGTGAGATGTTAGTGATCGATTCTGGCTCAAAAACACCTCTAAGCAGGATATCACTCCGGGTTCTTGGCTGGCTTAGCGTTAGCATGCTGTCTGTGCAGGTGCATGTAAAGAGCTGAAGTTGTGTCAGCAGCATGATGGAGCTGTTTCTGGATGCACGAGCACAAGACTCCATAAGCAGGATCGATCGGCAAACAGACTAACAATTCCATACAGCTGGACTACTGGGAACCACTTCTCTACAAGAACCAGTTCTTAATTCCCGTCCTTACCTATGAGTCATCCTGAGCTTATTTAAGGCAAGGCAAGGCAAGTTTATTTGTATAGCACAATTCAACAACAAGGTGGTTCAAAGTGCTTTACAGAGACATTAGAAACAAAAACAAATAAAAAGCATGATTTAAAATTGATTAAAACAATCAAACAAACTAACTAATTAACAAACAAACAAACAAACAAACGAAACAGTATATAAAATCAAAACAGATAAAATCAGTAGTTAAATGCAAGTTTTGAAATTTAAGCTTAAAAGTGTGGATTTGGTGCTTTATTCAATGCAGCTGAGAACAGGTGAGTCTTCAACCTGGATTTAAATAAACTGAGTGTTTCAGCTGATCTGAGGCTTTCTGGGAGTTTGTTCCAGATATAAGATTTAACCATGCCACACTGGACTCTACTCTGGCTGCTTTTCACCAGTTTGTGAATTGTCCCACAAGGAGCAACAGGACAATTGACCTACTGTATGCTAATGTGAGAGATGCATACAGAGCCACCCCCCCCCAGAAGTCAGACCACAACCTGGTTTACCTACAGCCACAATACACACCCCTCGTCCAAAGGCAGCCGGTCACAACGCGCTCCATCCGGAGATGGACCCCAGAAAAGGAGGATGCTCTGAGGGACTGCTATGACACCACAGACTGGGATGTGCTCCTGAGCCCACATGGTGAGGACATAGAGGGGGCGACACACTGTCTTACAGACTACCTCAACTTTTGTGTGGACACGGTCGCACCTGCTAAGACGGTACGGTGTTATCCTAATAACAAACCGTGGGTAACACAGGAAGTCAAAGCTGTCCTCAACATGAAGAAGAAGGCTTTCAGGAGCAAAGTGAAGGAGGAGATGAAAGCAGCACAGCGGGAGGTGAAACGCTGCCTGAGGGAAGCAAAGGACACCTACAGGAGGAAGGTGGAGCAGAAGTTGGAGAGGAACAATATGAGGGAGGTCTGGAATGGTGTGAAAACCATCACAGGCCACAAAACCAAGAAAAGCACAGTGGGGGGACTGTGGAGAAGGCAAACGAACTCAACAACTTCTTCAACAGGTTTGACCAGCCCACAACCCCCCACCCTCACCCTCACCTTCACTACAGAGTCCTCTCCCCACTCTCCTGCCTCCCTCGCTTCCCCCCTTCCTGACACCATGACACCCCCCTCCTCCAATCCCTCTCTCAGCAGCAAGACATCTCCCCCCCTCCCCTCCTCCCAAACATCTCCCAGTGTCACAGTGGATCAGGTCAGGAGACAACTGAGGAAGCTTCGCCCCAGAAAGGCAGCAGGCCCAGACAAGGTGTGTCCTAGGATGCTAAAGGCGTGTGCTGCTGAACTTGGGGAGCCGCTACAACGAGTCTTCAACCTCAGTCTGCGACTGGGGAGAGTGCCCGCCCTATGGAAGACATCCTGCATCGTCCCGGTCCCCAAAAAGAACCGGCCCAATGAGCTGAATGACTTCCGACCGGTGGCACTGACGTCACATCTTATGAAGACTCTAGAGCGGCTCTTCCTCAACCTCCTCCGACCACAGGTACAACATGCCCAGGACCCACTACAGTTTGCATACAAGGTGGGTGTCGGAGTGGAGGATGCCATCCTGTACCTCCTACACAGAGCCCACTCACACCTGGATGGGGGAAAAGGCACGGTCAGGATCCTGTTTCTTGACTTTTCCAGTGCCTTTAATACCATCCGGCCCTGTATGCTTCAGGAAAAACTGAACAGGATGGAGGTGGACCCCTGCCTGGTGGCTTGGATCTCCGACTACCTCACCGACAGACCACAGTACGTCAGGCTGAAGGACATCACGTCTGACACTGTGGTCAGCAGCACAGGAGCACCACAGGGAACTGTGCTGTCCCCTCTTCTCTTCACCCTGTACACCTCTGACTTCTGCTACAACTCTGAATTATGCCACATTCAGAAGTTTGCAGATGACACAGCCATCATGGGGTGTATCTGGGACGATGAGGAAGAGGAGTACAGAAGTCTGGTGAGGAACTTTGTCGCATGGAGTCACACAAACCAACTCAACACCTCAAAGACTAAGGAACTGGTTGTGGACTTCGGGAGGTCTAGAGAAGGTCCACTGCCAGTTCAGATAGAGGGGGAGGAGGTGGAGGTGGTCAACAAGTACAAGTACCTCGGGCTGTGGGTGGACAATAAACTGGACTGGTCATGCAACACAGAGCACCTGTATAAAAAAGCCCAAAGCCAACTGTACTTCCTCAGGAGGCTGAGGTCTTTTAACATCTGCAGGAAGCTCCTGAGGATGTTTTACCAGTCGGTGGTTGCTGGAGTACTTTTCTATGCTGTGGTGTGCTGGGGGAGCAGCACAGCAAAGAAGGACTCATCCAGGCTGGAGAAACTGATCAGGAAGGCTAGCTCTGTGGTCGGCATGAAGCTGGACACTCTGGTGACAGTGGCAGAGAAAAGGACATTAAAGAAACTGCTGGACATTATGGACAATGCTGGGCATCCTCTGCACACTGCCATTAACAACCAGAAGAGTCTGTTCAGTGACAGGTTGCTTCTCCCAAAGACAAGAACTAACAGACTTAAAAACTCCTTTGTCCCACACGCCATCAAACTGTTTAACTCCTCTCTGGAGGGAGAGGGAGGGGAGACAGCAGGACAAAGGAGGGGGGAACAACTAAGCCGTAGTGCCTCTGCACCTCACTGTGCAATACTTTTGTAAATAGTCAACGGTGCAATAGACCTCAATACTTGAAATGTGCAATTCACTTGTATTTTTATTTTTTATTCCTATTTATTCTATTTATCCCCTTCGTATATTTTATTTATATTTGTCTCTGTATTTATATATATGTGTGTGTGTGTGTGTGTGTATAACTCTGTAACTTCTGTCGGTGCTGTGCTTTTTTGGAAGTCGAATTTCCCAGAGGAACCCACCCGAGGGATTAATAAAGTTCTATCTTATCTTATCTTATCTTAAGGAGCATAAAAGCTGAATGCAGCTTCTCCGTGTCTGGTTCTGACTCTGGGAACTGATAAAAGACCGGATCCAGATGACCTGAGGGATCTGGAAGGTTCATACTGGGTCAGGAGGTCACTGATGTATTTTGTAGAGATGGCACGATACCACTTTTTTATGTTCGATACCGATATCATAAATTTGGATATCTGCCGATACCGATATGAATCCGATATAGTGTGTTTTAATCAACAAAGCTGTTTTTTAAATATCTTGCTGCATTTTGTATAAGTTCATACTCAAGTTTAAAACAACAACTACACTAAAGCTATTCTGTTATACCTGTATGCAAAAAAAATATTTCATAGTTCAGCAATACTGATCAAGCTAATAAACTCAAACCTACACCATCCTCCCTATTCTGGTATTTTAAAGAGTACTTAGCGTAAATATTAAGCAACCTAACTAATAGGGTTCCAACTCCCAGCAACAACAAAAATAAATACCGTATTTTCACGACCATAAGGCGCACTTAAAAGTCTTAGATTTTCTTCAAAAAGTGCGGCGCGCCCTATAGCGCGGTGCGCCCTGTGTGTTGTAAGGCAGACGTAGTAGAGAACACCATGAGAACGTTAAAGGGTGAAGTGTGGGCGTTGATCGTATATACCGGGACAATCGCACATACCTGTATAAAAGGACAGGTATGTGCATTATGTGGAACATCGTTGTTTTAACAACCCTGAAAATGGCAAAGAGACACGCTTACGAAGCACAGTTTAAACTGAAGGCCATCAGCTACGCGGAGGAACATGGAAATCGAGCAGCAGTGAGAGAATTTAAGATTAACGAATCGATGGTTCGCAAATGGAGGAAGCTGGAAAACGAGCTCCGGCAGGTCAAGAAAACGCAGCTGAGTTTCCGCGGACATAAGGCGAGGTGGCCCGAGTTGGAGGAAAGACTCGAGCGGTGGATCATCGAGCAAAGAGCGAGCGGGAGAAGCGTTTCGACGGTCACCATTCGGCTAAAAGCAGTTTCACTAGCTGAAGAGATGAACATTGAACATTTCCAAGGAGGTCCGTCTTGGTGCTTTCGTTTTATGAAACGGTGCTATTTTTCCATCCGGACCAGGACTACGGTAGCGCAGCAACTTCCAGCGGATTATAAGGAAAAGCTGGCCATCTTCCGCTCCTACTGCAGCAAACACATCGGCGACAAAAACATCCAGCCCAGCCACATCACTAACATGGACGAGGTGCCGCTCACTTTTGACATCCCGGTGAGTCACACTGTGGAGAAGAAGGGGACCAGCACGGTAGCGATACGCACAACGGGGTTTGAAAAGTCTTGTTTCACTGTTGTGCTTGGCTGCCATGCTAATGGACAGAAACTGCCGCCTATGGTGATTTTTAAGCGAAAGACTTTGCCTAAAGAGAAGTTTCCAGCAGGAATCATCATTAAGGCAAATGAAAAGGGCTGGATGGATGAGGAAATGATGAAAGACTGGCTGAGGGAGGTGTATGTAAGGAGACCAGGTGGTTTTTTCCACGCATCACCATCGCTGTTGATCTGTGACTCTATGCATCTCACAGCCGATGTGAAAAAACTAATGAAACAAAGGAACTGTGAGCTTGCTGTCATTCCGGGAGGCCTGACAAAGGAACTCCAACCGCTGGACATCGGTGTGAACCGCCCGTTCAAAGTAAGGCTGCGAGCGGCCTGGGAGCGATGGATGACCGATGGAGACCACAGTTTCACTAAGAGTGGAAGGCAGCGCCGGGCGAGTTACGCCACAATTTGCCAATGGATTGTAGATGCTTGGGCTAACATGTCTGCTGGCACTGTTGTTCGAGCTTTCGCAAAAGCCGGCATCGTTTCCGAGGAGCCGCACAGCACGGAAAGTGACTCTGATGGTGAAGACAGTGAACCTGGCATGTTTGATGGAGATTTAGCGCAGCTGTTCAATTCAGACACAGAGGATGAGGACTTCGATGGGTTTGATTGATGATAAAAATGTGAGTACCAAACTTCGTTTTGCTCCTGCTTTATTTTTAAATATGCACACTTGTATGCTTGTGTGTTGTTGATGATGACGATTACTGGCAATAGAAATGTGAGTAAGGTACCGAATTCAGGTTTGCTCCCGCTTTATTTTTAAATACGCATACGGTACTTGTATGCGCCCTATGTGTGTGTTAAATACAGTAAGGGCACACATAACTGAGACTGCGCCTTTTAGCACAGTGCGCCTTATGGTCGTGAAAATACGGTAAATAAAAAATAGGGAACCACCCCTCACGCTCCACCTCATGATGCTTACTCGACGTAATCAACCTTAATTTGATGCAGTGTGAAAAAAATGCACAGAAATCAATTATTTTTCAAGAAATATTAAATAGATTCAACATCTTTCTTCAACAAAATTACAGACTGCACAGATGGTACCTTCCCAAAGGAAAAAGTACTATAGCTTACTAGGGTATATATACAGTATATTAGACTTAATAGTCACTACAGTGGGGCAAAAAAGTATTTAGTCAGCCACCGATTGTGCAAGTTCCCCCACCTAAAATGATGACAGAGGTCAGTAATTTGCACCAGAGGTACACTTCAACTGTGAGAGACAGAATGTGAAAAAAAATCCATGAATCCACATGGTAGGATTTGTAAAGAATTTATTCGTAAATTAGGGTGGAAAATAAGTATTTGGTCACCTCAAACAAGGAAAATCTCTGGCTCTCACAGACCTGTAACGTCTTCTGTAAGAAGCTTTTCTGTCCCCCACTCGTTACCTGTATGAATGGCACCTGTTTGAACTCATCATCTGTATAAAAGACACCTGTCCACAGCCTCAAACAGTCAGACTCCAAACTCCGCCATGGCCAAGACCAAAGAGCTTTTGAAGGACACCAGGAAAAGTATTGTAGACCTGCACCAGACTGGGAAGAGTGAATCTACAATAGGCAAGCAGCTTGGTGTGAAAAAATCAACTGTGGGAGCAATCATCAGAAAATGGAAGACATACAAGACCACTGATAATCTCCCTCGATCTGGGGCTCCACGCAAGATCTCATCCCGTGGGGTCAAAATGATCATGAGAACGGTGAGCAAAGATCCCAGAACCACACGGGGGACCTGGTGAATGACCTGCAGAGAGCTGGGACCAAAGTAACAAAGGTCACCATCAGTAACACACTACAACGGCAGGGAATCAAATCCCGCAGTGCCAGACGTGTTCCGCTGCTGAAGCCAGTGCATGTCCAGGCCCGTCTGAAGTTTGCCAGAGAGCACATGGATGATACAGCAGAGGATTGGGAGAATGTCATGTGGTCAGATGAAACCAAAGTAGAACTTTTTGGTATAAACTCAACTCGTCGTGTTTGGAGGAAGAAGAATACTGAGTTGCATCCCAAGAACACCATACCTACTGTGAAGCATGGGGGTGGAAACATCATGCTATGGGGCTGTTTTTCTGCCAAGGGACAGGACGACTGATCCGTGTTAAGGACAGAATGAATGGGGCCATGTATCGTGAGATTTTGAGCCAAAACCTCCTTCCATCAGTGAGAACTTTGAAGATGAAACGAGGCTGGGTCTTCCAACATGACAATGATCCAAAACACACCGCCCGGGCAACAAAGGAGTGGCTCCGTAAGAAGCATTTGAAAGTCCTGGAGTGGCCTAGCCAGTCTCCAGACCTCAACCCCATAGAAAATCTGTGGCGGGAGTTGAAAGTCCGTGTTGCTCGGCGACAGCCCCAAAACATCACTGCTCTCGAGAAGATCTGCATGGAGGAATGGGCCAAAATACCAGCTACTGTGTGTGCAAACCTGGTAAAGACCTATAGTAAACGTTTGACCTCTGTTATTGCCAACAAAGGTTATGTTACAAAGTATTGAGTTGTATTTTTGTTATTGACCAAATACTTATTTTCCACCCTGATTTACCAATAAATTCTTTACAAATCCTACCATGTGGATTCATGGATTTTTTTTTCACATTCTGTCTCTCACAGTTGAAGTGTACCTCTGGTGCAAATTACTGACCTCTGTCATCATTTTAGGTGGGGGAACTTGCACAATCGGTGGCTGACTAAATACTTCTTTGCCCCACTGTATATACAACAAACTATTTACAACACAGGGGGAAATCAAGACCATGACAAACTGAAACACAGGGCTTAAATACATAGAGGGAGTAATCAGGGAATAGACAACAGGAGGGAAACACAGCTGGGGCAAATCAGAACTGACGAGACAAGGAAGCGTAAACTGAACACACTGAGATAAGACAGACCTTCAAAGTAAAACAGGAAACGCATAACAGTCATGCCTAAAACAAAACACTGACAACATCGAATCGTAACAAAAGTATTTCCTGTTTTCTACGTATGTTTTGAACCAGTTTAGTACAGTTCCTGAAAGACCTGTCCAGTTCTCCAGTCGTTTGAGTAATATGTTGTGGTCAACTGTATCAAATGCTGCACTGAGATCCAGTAAAACTAAGACTGACATTTTTCCACTGTCTGTGTTCAGACATATGTCATTAAACACTTTTGTCAGAGCGGTTTCAGTGCTGTGGTTCTGTCTAAAACCTGACTGGAAGGCATCGTAGCAATTACTCTGTTTAAGAAGTAACTGAGCTGTTGAGAAACTGCTTTTTCAATGATCTTACTTAAAAACGGGAGATTTGAGATCGGCCTGTAGTTGTTCATTTGTGTCTTGTCAAGATTGTCCTTTTTCAGTATAGGTTTGATTACAGCAGTTTTTAGTGGTTCTGGAAACACGCCTGATATTAAAGAAAAGTTGACGATCTGTAACAGGTCTGACTCTAAAGTCTTTGAGACCTTTTTGAAAAAACTTGTTGGCAGGACATCTAAACAGCAGGAGGAGGAGTTCAGTTGACCTAAGATGTCCTCCAGGTCTTTGCTGTTAATAGGGTCAAACAGTTTCATGGTGTTTAAACAGGTTTTCGGTGGACACAGTACATATCCTGGATATTAAGGATATTATTAAAGGTGGTATTTTACATCAGTCATTGAAACTCCTCACAAATATTTACCGTGTCCTCCTAGCTGGCATCGGCACTGAAACAGGAAGATAAGAGTAACTAAGGCTCCACAGAGCTTCCTTCTGAGGATTTATAAATGACAGTTTTTGTAGTTCTTTACTGGATTCACGCTGTGAGTGAAGTGCAGACTCGCAGCTTTAGCTGGAGGGTTTAAATAAGGTCGTGACACACACAGTCCCTCATTTTCAGAGGCTCATTGATTGTGACGCGCCATGTTTGTGTCGCAGAGAGAATGTGATCGAGTCCCAGCGGAGCCGCATGGAGGAGCTGGAAGGTGCATCGGAGCTGCTGAGGGAGGAGCTGAGGAGGAAGGAGGCCGAGTATGAAGAGAGACTCCTGCAGGTCCGGCAGGAGCAGAGCTCCAAACTGAGGTACGAGCTGCTGGTTTTAAATACGAAGCCTTCCGTAAAGCTGAGCGGCGCCTCGTTCTGATGTTTCCTGTTATTTCATCAAAAATGTCGTTTATGTTTGAGTAAATGAAAATCCATCTAAATAAAACCAGTGAGAATATTTTGGTCTCAGGTTTTTGTTGGAGGGGAGCACCAGAACCTGTTTCTCACGGTTTCAGTCCAACAGCTTTCACCGTATCAGGGCAGAAGATGAGCTCGTGCTGTGGCGAGGCGTCTGTCATTCACAATAATCGCTTTCTGTGGTCACCTCTTCACTCAAAGCTGTGCTCGAGGTCGAGGTTGTGGATGAATCTTTGTTTTTTCCTGTCAGGACGCACGTCAACAGCAACGTGACGCTGATCAAACTGCAGAAGCAGCTGGCGGTGAGATCCAACACCGTGGCTGAGCTGGAGGGGCGATATCTGCAGCTGCAGGAGGTGAGACGTTTCCTGGCCTCCTCCTCTTCCTCCCCCACCTGAAACCCTGCAGCACCAAGATCAACATCCAGTAATCACTACTGATCTTCTCTGTCTGTGAGAGAACAAATTATCGCACTTTTCTATGCAACGCTGTGACTTCAAGCGCAATCAAATCCCTCTGCAGCCAATCAGGAGAAAGATTTCTTAAGAGGGGAGGGGCTTGATTCAGTGCACAGCATTGTTTTAAACTGTGAATCATGCAGATGAGTAGGGACGAAACACCAGAGCTGGATATGATGAGCTCAAAGATCATGTGACTAACCTCCCGTTTATAATTCCACCTTATGGCACTGACACACATCTGCAGACACAGCTGGCCTGACGAGATCAACAAGACCAGGTGTCAGGTGTGTACACAGAGCGAGCTAACAGCGGCGGCGTTTGTTTTGCAGAGTCAGCAGACGCTTAAGCTCAGTCATGAAGCGGCGATGGCGAAGGTGGACGAGCTGTCGGCGGATCTGAAAAACGAGCGGCTGAAGCGCTTGGAGCTGGAGAAGCAGCTGCAGAGTGCCAGCGTCTCCAGGACGAGGATGGAGCAGGTGAGCCCGAGTCCGCTGTAGGGGTGTGCTGCTGTGCAGGTGTGGTGGCTCACCTGCCTGTGTGTGCGTTCAGCTGCAGGAGAGGATCGGCGAGCTGGAGCAGGACAGAGACCTGCTGAAGGACAGCAACGAGAAGCTGCTGAACAGGTGAGCAGAAGGAGGCGAAGACACGCCGCGGCGCTGTGAGGGCCGTTTGTCCATGAACGTTTCAGTCTTACCTGGCCCAGGTTGACCTCCGTCACCTCCTCCTTTCGTTGCAGCGCCTTTGACGTCTCTCAGCAGGAGAAATGGCAGCTTCAGGAGCAGCGGCTGAAGCTTCAGATCTCTCAGCTGGAGACGGCGCTCAAGGCCGACCTCGTCGACAAAAACGAGATCCTCGACAAAGTCAAGGCCGAGAGAGGTACGGGTACGCCCCCTACCTGCCCATTAAGACCGCTCCGTGTCCCGTGAGAGCGCCGAGGGTGAACGTGGCGACCGATTTCCTCCCTCTGATTGTTTTTCAGACACAAACAAGAAGCTGAAAGAAGCAAATCAGAAGCTGGAGGTGCAGTTCCTGCAGCAGAAGCAGCAGCTGGAGGAACTGAACGAGCAGCTCAAGTTTTACAGTCGGGTGAGCAGATGAATCAAATCCTCTCGCCTGCTGCAGGTTTGGTGTGTGTGACATCACCGTGCTCTTCACAGGGGAGCGACTACGACGTGGCCGAACTCACCGAGGCGCTGCTGCTCGTCAAAGTGAGTGCCCGTCACACGCCGCTGCCGTCGTTACTGCGATCATACACAGCCCAGATTCAGTCTCACGTCTCGCCTTTTGTCTGTAACATCATCGTCTATCAGACACGTAAATCCCAGAGGAGTGGAGATCTGGACTTCCTGAGGGAGGCGGAGGAGGAAACGGGCGGCACCAGCATGGAAAACGCCATTAAGGAGCTGCGAGCCGCTCACGCCGAAACCATCCAGGAGCTGGAAAAGACCCGGAGCCTCCTGAGCACGGAGAGCCGGATCAGCCAAGGCTACAAGGTGGAGCAAACACACCCGCCCACTTTTATTCTTACTGTATGCAAAGCAGCAAGGGGAGGGGTCAGAGTGGAACCTGATCACGTTTGTTGTGCTGAGCAGAATCTATTTCCTTTCTTGTGGCCGCAGGCCGAGCTGGACGCCGCGCTACGCAAGATGGACGCCGACAAACTCGAGTACGAGCAGAAGCTAGAACGCCAGGCTCAGCTGCTGGACGCCAGGGCAACGAAGATCAGGAAACTGGAAGGTTCCCGCCCACCCAAGCATCCATCCAGTTCTCCTGCTGATGTTCAGTTTAAAGAATAAATGAACCGTTGATGATGAGGTTTCTCTGCTCCGCAGCTCAGCTCAGAGACATCGCCTACGGGACCAAAACCTACAGCGTCAAAGCGGACGCCACAGCCGAGGACGAGGCCGACGAATCTGGCGAAGCGCTTCACCTGGAGAGTGGAGAAAACCTGCTGGAGCTTCAGATAGTAGGCGTCACGCTGTCTGGCTCTGCCCTGCAGATGCTGGGCGAAGCTGAGCCCGCCACCTTCTGTACGTACGCCTTCTACGTGTTCGAGCTGCACGCCACACCGGTGGTGACGGGCCACAGTCCAAAATACAACTTTACTTCTAAGTACGTGGTTAGCGTGGACGAACGCTTCCTCGACTACCTCCACCGGGGCGCGGTGAGGGTGGAGCTGCACGAAGCGCTCGGTCTGGACTGGAGGACGCTGGCGGCTGGCGAGCTTCATCTGCAGCAGCTGCTGGAACAGGACGGGAAGGTTCACGGCAGCGTGGCGCTCGTCGGTGAGTCATTGGTCTGTGGGGGGAGGGAGAGACTGACATAAGCACAGACTGAGAGACAGCCAAAGAGCTGCTCGTGTAAAGGCTCAGGCTCACTGACAGAGTCCATGTTTCATTTGTCACACACACAGACACACACAGACACACACAGACACAAGAACAACACTGAACAGGTGCAGACCGACAGCGAGCAGTGAACAACCGTTACCGGGTGCATCACTAAAGTACATTATTTTGTTATTAAGTGCATGAGCAGTGTAGAGAGTCCAGTCCAGCATCACTCGGTGTGGACACACTGCAGGTCAGGGAGCTCTGAGCGAGCGGTGCATCCAGCAGAGCGCACCGCTCTTTGGAGAGCTCGTCTATCCCGATGCTGTTCCTCCACCTTCAGAGGAGGTGGAGGTCTGAGGAAGAAGAGACGCTTCTTTAAAAAGATGTTTAGCGCCATCTGCTGTCAGTACGGAACATGACGTCATGAGTTTGGTTGGTTGTGGCTAGCAGACTTAACATAAACTAATGTGAGTCTGTTAGCTGCAACCAACCACATGACGTTACATCTAATGTAAATTAGCCTTTATAAGGGGAGCGCCTCATGTCCGCTCTAAGCTCAAATATGTACAAGGTGAGAGTAGGCCGAGGACACAACCTGGATATTTACCTTCCTGTGTGTCATGAGGGCCGTGTGACCCGCGAGCCAGCTCAGTGACGGCCGGATCCACGCGGTCTGCGGGCTGGCGGCTGTACTTGACGATGACGGTAGACTCGGCGACTGTCGGTGATGCTCGATGAAAACGCGTCGTCAGATGAACGCTCGTGTGCAAACCTCTTTCAGGGTCGCGTGATGAGGCGCGCTGCTTCGGCTCCTTGGAGTTCTGGCTCAGGCTGAGGGTGCCCATGACGGAGACGCTGCGACTGTACCGAGAGAAGATGAAGGCGGTGAGCTTCATCATCACCCGTCATCACTCAGATACACGAGCAGGAGGATACACCCATGGTGTACACACACCTGAGCAGGTGAAGGTTCTCACTCGTGTCGTTTCTCCTCAGCCTCCGCCAACGACCGGCGACTGGAACGAGCTCTTCATCACCGTCCGCCGCTGCTCCGGCCTTCAGCCGCGAGGCTCCTGGCAGCCGAGCCCCTATGTCGTCTACAAGTTCTTTCACTTCCCCGACCACCCCACCGCCACCGTTCACAACCGCCAGGACCCCGACTTCCATGACCTCAGGTCGTACTCCGTCTCGATGGATGCGGACCTGGACCGGTACCTGAAGTCGGAGCTCCTTCAATTCTACGTGTTCGACTACAAAGAGGAGCAGATGGACATGTACCTGGGGAAGGCCCAAGTCCCTCTGAGGACGCTGACCCACGACGAGAGCCTCACAGGTGAGTCAGGTGTTTGTAGCACACTGTTCGCCTGCAGGTGCAGCTTCAGTGTTCAGCTGCAGCGTGACCTGTTAAAATGGGGTTCTTTCTCACCGTCATTACCTGAACATGGGCATACACACTTTACACTGGTTTTAAATAAACTGGACAGGAAATGTTTTCATTTTTAGCTCCTGATGAAGGCTCCAGGCTTTTCGATAAAACATCGAAAAGTGTTTTAATGGTTTAAACTTCTTAAATCTAAAGTTAACCAAACGCCTCACACTGCTGCTGTCTGAGGAAATGTTTCAGGATCAGCTCGATCAGATGTGAGTGAGCACGTGTAACCTGCTCTGCTCCCTCAGGTGTGTTTTCGCTGGCCGATCCCTCTGGACTCCCCGCCGGGAACATCGAAGTGACTCTGAAGTGGAAGGTCTCCTACATCCACCCGGTGGACGCCATGGAGGACGAGCCCAGGTTACTCCTGTGGAGGAAGCGTCAGAGGCCAAACAACAGCCGGAGGGCAAGGAGGCCCGCCGCCATCGCGCCGAATCTCAGGTCAGGTCATCCAGATGACCCAAACATAAATGATAAATTTAATAATGGCCTGAAAATGTTTTCGATTTTTTTCTCCTTTTCTGCGAATTTAAACACAACAATCGAGCGATTCCCATAATTCCCTGAGGAGCCTGTTCCTCCTGAAGGCTGTGGCCTTCCTGTGGCTTCAGCAGATGTTCACCTGTGACTCGGTCCAGGTGTGCTCTTCCCTCACCTCTCTGGATGCTTCCCCCTTCAGGCCCCGCTGCCCAAACCAAGACTGAAGACTCAGGTGAAGGGAACGCCACCTGCCAAAAAAGTCACGTTTGTAGAAGGGACAGCCGCCAACCAACAGGTGAGAGGCACTGCCTCTGTCAGGTGATCAGAGAGGGAGGAGTTTACCTGCAGCTCAGCAGGTGCATTCAGGGCTCAGGTGGAGATCGGATAAAACAACACGTGGAGTTTGATGTTTTTCTGTTTTTCCTTCTTTCAGCTGGACGCGTCGAGCTCAGCCCGGGAGGCGGAGACTCTACCTGCAGCACCTGTAC